CATACATTATTGTTAAATTTATGGATAATTTACGCACACTGAGTTACACAGAAAGTGCAATCCCCAAAATATCAAATATTATACCACTGGGTGTCAGGAGGTATCTGGAACTATATACAGTAATTCAGATATCTGCTGTTTTTGCGAACACTTGGTGTCATCCCCTTCTCATGACGTAGTCGCAATCGTATAATGGAATATGTTTTAGCAGTGATGGCTTATGATTATGGAAATGTCCTATATCTTTTTACTTAAAAAATCCCTATTAAGCTCGACTGTGTCTTGATGGCGATAACCCCTTGTAATACATATAACACGAATGTGGCGTCTCAGACTTCGAAATGGTGAAAGAGGGGAAAATGAGAGCTGATATAAAAGATCATAAAAGACCAAGCATGCCCAAAGCTCTTTTCTCACTTAAAGTATCCATGCTCTTATTTCTGTTGGGAAATTCTATAATGTCTTGTCGAGTTATCTGATTTTCACACCAGCTAGAAACTGAGATCGGAAGCAAATTGGACATACGACAGAGAAGATTAGATGAGTATAGATCTGGTGTCGTTGGTGATGCATTTCAATGATTACTTCGACATATTTAGCGACCTCAGGCTCAGGTTGAAGTTTATTGTTACTGTGGCAGCACTGATAATGTCAATAGTTTATCGTCGTCGTTTGTGATATATCCAGTTAATGATATATAGTATGACCAGAAATTATTACGAATTTTAGGAATATGTATAATTGGAATTCTAGTATAAACAACATTGACCAGCTATCAAGTGATTGGTTTCATTCAAGAGAGACAACTCCGTTAATCCTTTTTCATTAGTTTGTGAAGAGTTATCCCCCTTTGTTTACTTGCTAGCAGACGACATTTACAGTGATCCTCAGTATGGATGATTTAGAGAAGAGGAAGTTCATTTTAGAGTATTATAACAAGGACATCAGATCAGCTAAAGTGAATTTAAGTAGAACAGGCATCGCTTTGTCCACTGTTTATCGTGTTTTGAAAAATATTGCCAATGGATATGGCATTGAGCACCCGGGAGGCGCAGGTAGGCCCAGAAAATTGACTCGGTGACAGGAGGCGGCTTGGTATTCTTGTTTCTAAACAAACTTAAGGCTGGATATGATTGATAGAGGAACTGTGGCCGTCTGTAAGGAGACAATTAGAACTGAGTCGCATGCAATGGGTTGGCAGAAAAGTCGAGGAATTCCATCACCGATCATGAAACCTGAACAAAAGGAACAAAAGGTTGAACTGGTGCTTACAGCATAGAAAGTTTAATTGGGACAATGTTATTTTCTCAGATGAAAGTTCTGTGTGGCTGTTTCCTAATTCACTGAAATTCTGGATCAAACAAACTGAAAAACCTTTGCATCAGCGCCCAAAGTACAGTCCGAAATTTAACTTGTGGGGTGGCATATCTGTGTTAGGGGCAACGCCCCTCTGGTGTATTTAAAGGGAATATGAACAGTGAGTGGTACACAAATATTTTCGAGGGACATTTATTTCCATCTGCTCACGTGTTCTATGGAAAGTTTTGGATTTTCCAGCAGGACAACGACCCAAAACATCGCTCAAAGCATTCACAGGCCTGGTTTCGGACCCAAAATATTACATTATTAGATTGACCAAGCTATAGCCCTGAACTAAATCCAATAGAAAATGTTTGGGGACTTATGAAGGAAAGTGTCAATAAGAAAAATCTGACAAATATTGCAGAAATGAAAGAAGAGATGGTCCGATATTGGGACAGCATGGACCACGACTTTCTAACTTCTTTGATCAGTAGTATACCCCGTCGCATTGAAGCCTGCATTGCTGCCCATGGTGACTTGACAAAATACTAACTGTTCACCTGTCTTTGAATCTGGAGTTATGTTCTGCTAATATTCACATTTAATACGTGAGTAATGAGTGAAATTATTTTTTACAATCTTTAAATTCTCAATAATTTCTGGATGTACTGTAAGTGCTACATGAAACATTAAGCAACATGTAAAAGTTCAAAGGGGCGGTGGGTTAGCCTAGTGGTTAAAGCGTCCGCTCGTCACACCGAAGTCCCTTGTTCGATTCCCCACATGGTACAATGTGTGAAGCCCATTTCTGGTGTCCCCGCAATGATATTGCTGGAATATTGCTAAAAACGGCGTAAAACTAAACTCACTCACAAAATGTTCAACGGTGTAACACATTAGCGGTATATGTCCATCCGGCATTGCCGTCATCTGTACCAACATCACAATATGATTCTATCCTCTACGTCGTTCATATTACAAAATGAGTGAACATTTTTAAAACATTACAATCTTTAACTTCTGAATAATTTCTGGTTGTACTGTATATGAATATTACCGCTTTAGTAATTACTCAGACATGCTTTTTCCTGTCACCAATAGAGACATCAGACTCAAGTTAAATGTCACGCTCGCTGTGGCGACAATAATGTAGAACACCTTTAGTGTCTCTAATAGGAATGTATTTTTGTATTTCAATGAACAACTGTCGAGAGTCTAAGCCACTTTTTCTGAACCACGGTAATTGTTCTCTTTTTAAAAATTATTTCTTTATTGTAACATTCGTTATGTATTTAAAAAGAAATACTAGTCTGAATGTCTTTTCAAACAAAAAGACTTTCAGCAATATACATTTTGAGAAAGATAAATGTTTTCTGTAAAACGATCTGGTTGCCAGTCATCTCTTGACCATGAAATTAGAATCCACGTCGAAACGTCGCCTATAAAGAATAAGGAAGTAACTGTTGTATATCCCTAAAATTGTCCTCATTCTTGATCAGAAGCATGATAATTTTTACAAGAATAGTTTGTAACAATGTACTTCTTTCGATAGAATCCACCACCATCACAGATTCCGTATATAGTAAAGCTCAGTCATGACGGCAGAATTGATACTATTCTGGGCAAATGGTTTCAGCATACTGTTTTCCAAGGCTTCATAATTCTTAAGACAAGCTCACGGTTCTCAGGCTCTCGTGAAGACTCTCGCTTTGAAGCAGATACAGCAGATTTTGAATACAAAATGCAATTTAGAAAATGGTCAAATATTTAGGGTAACACATTCGTGGAAGCCGCGGTGGCTGAGTAGGTTAGGTCGATGACTTTGCATGCTGTCGATTAGGTGCTTAACTTTGAGAGTGAGTGAGCCCCGGATAGGACTAGACCAAACAAAATACTGTGTGTATCACGTCTAGGACACGTCGTCATCATTTATACTATGTCATTGTATTTATGACACATTATCATCATATATGACACATTATCATCATTTATACTATATCACTATATAGTTATGACACGTTATCATCATTTATAATGTGGCAACATCTATGACACGTAGCCATCATTGAAAGCGTGTCATCACAACATTCATCCATCATATGTATCATTCTTTTATTCAGTCAGTCATTCTGACAGGCTGTCATCCCCTGTAACACGAAGCGTTTTTAATATCACACAGCCATTCTTATAACAGTCATCTTTATGTCACGAAGTAACCCTGTATGTATATAACAGCCATCCCTTCTACCACGCAGCCATCCCTTCAATCACGAAGTCACCCCTTATACCACGCCGTCACCCCTTATACCACACTGTCACCTCTTATACCACGCAGTAACCCTTATACCACGCCGTCATCCCTTATACCACAAAGTCGTCTTATACCACGCAATCACCCCTTATACCACACAGTCACCACTTATACCACACAGTCATCCCTTATACCACGCAGTCACTCCTTATACCACACAGTCACCACTTATACCACGCAGTCATCTCTTATACCACGCAGTCACCCATATACCACGCAGCCATGTCTTCTATCACGCAGCCACCCCTTATACCACGCCGACAGCCCTTATACCACAAAGTCATGTCTTATACCACGCAATCACCCCTTATACCACACAGTCATCTCTTATACCACGCAGTCATCTCTTATACCACGCAGACACCCTTATACCACGCAGCCATCTCTTCTATCACGCAGCCACTCCTTATACCACGCAGTCACCCTTATACCACGCAGTCACCCCTTATACCACGCAGTCATCTCTTATACCACACAGTCACCCCTTATACCACACAGTCACCCTTATACTACGTAGCCATTCCTTATAACATATAGTCACCCCTTATACCACACAGCCATTCTATAACATATAGTCACCCTTTATACCACAGTCACCCTCATACCACACAGTCACTCTTTATACCACACAGTCATCCCTTATACCACGTAGCCATTCCTTATAACATGAAGTCATCCCTAATACCACGTAGCCATCTCTTATACCACACAGTCACCCTTATACTACAAAGTCATCCCTTATACCACGCAGCCATCTCTTCTATCACGCAGCCACCCCTTATACCACGCAGTCACCCTTATACCACGCAGTCACCCCTTATACCACGCAGTCATCTCTTATACCACACAGTCACCCCTTATACCACACAGTCACCCTTATACTACGTAGCCATTCCTTATAACATATAGTCACCCCTTATACCACACAGCCATTCTATAACATATAGTCACCCTTTATACCACAGTCACCCTCATACCACACAGTCACTCTTTATACCACACAGTCATCCCTTATACCACGTAGCCATTCCTTATAACATGAAGTCATCCCTAATACCACGTAGCCATCTCTTATACCACACAGTCACCCTTATACTACAAAGTCATCCCTTATACCACGTAGCCATCCCTTACAACACGTAGCCATCTCTTATACCATACAGTAACCCTTATACCACACAGTCATTCCTTATACCACACAGTCATCCTTTGTAGAATAGTTCTGTACTTAATTTTTGGCTGTGGGTGAACGAAAGTGAAAACCCCCAGTAAAATGTCATTTCAGTTTAAAGCAAGTATTAGTGGAAACCTTGATAAGACAATGTGTTCCAAGCTTCGATTTCAGGGGCTTTAATAATAAAGTGATATCAAGTTTTTCTCCATAAAAATGAGACGTAAGTGGATGAGAAAGATTTCAACAATATTGGGCCACTATACATGCCCATGCATATAATAAGGGGTATTTTTGTCGTATGATTAATGTCTCGAACATGGAAGCCATTTGTACATTTCACGCATTGTGTTTGTGATACCTGTATTAATTCTGTAAAAATGCATCGAGTCAAGAAGGTTGAGACGAAAAAGATTTTGACCCAAGTTAATTTTCCCTGGATGTTTAAATACAATGCAAAGTGCATGCATAAGCTCACCCTATGTTTTCACGCCGAAGACCCGGGTTCGATTCCCCACATGGGCACAATGTGTTAAGCCCATTTCTGGTGTCCCCCGCCGTGATATTGCTGGAATATTGCTAAAAGCGGCGTAAAACTAAACTCAGTCAGTCAGTCACCCTATGTTTTCACTAGACAAAACGACCTGTTCCACTCATGTGGGTAATTATTATATCAACGATGTCTCGTCATTTTGATACCAATAGGATCAAACATTTCAGGTATGCCAGATAGGTCCCTTACATTGTCTCCTCTTTAAGTTTTATACGTTTTGGACACCAAAGTGATGACTACCATACAAACAAGGATGCCAGCTCTTCTGTGAGCTGGACCTATGTTTGTTATTAATTTTGATAATAGCCTTTGTGAGAATAAGATCTCTTTGTTATTCACATCCATTAATTAAGAATAACCTTCAGAATACCAAATGGAAATATCTTTTACATATTTTCTCTGTATTAGTATTAACGACATTGAAATAGATCTCATTCTCATTAATAAGTTTCTGTTTTTCAGAAATAATTAGAACATCCAACAACGTCTTCATGCAAAACATCAGTAAGGTATCAAACCACTGCTTATCCATCACATTTGATTAATGGTGGAAGGGCAACAACACCAAGGCCATCATTGAACAATTAATGAAGGCACCTTCAGTATGACTCCACGTCCTGCTAAATGTACCTTACTTTATTTCAGGATTACTAGCAACGATCGGCAACGTGTTGGTGCTGCACCTTCAGGATGACTCCACGTCCTGCTAAATGTACCTTACTTTATTTCAGGATTAATAGCAACGATCAGCAACTTGTTGGTGCTGCACTTTCATGTTGAATCCACGCCCTGCTAAATGTACCCTACTTTATTTCAGGATTACTAGCAACGATCGGCAACGTGTTGGTGCTGGTGGTGTTCTACAAGCACAAGAAGTTGAGGAAGAATCCTCACAATCAGCTGCTTCTGAACCTTGTGATCTCCGACTTGGGCATCTCTCTGTTTGGCTACCCACTAACAACCTCGTCTAATTATGCCGGCAGATACCTGTACGGGAAGGTGGGATGTGTCATTCAAGGCTTCATGACTTTCACCCTGGCACAGACCGATATGAACACCCTGGCGTGTTTGAGTATCTACCGTTTCATTTCAGTATGCATGCCGGGGGATGGTAAGACTTGTAACAGTTTTAAATCGTAAATATACTGAGGGAAACAAGTTAAGGGAACTCCACTTCATTTCAGTGTTCCTTTATTTATTCTCAGACTTCCTCCCAAAGCGCTATTCGAAGCATGTGATGAAAACTGGAAAATAGTAAATGAAACTGGTCAATACACGAACTACTTTCACAAAACTCAATATACACCATGCGAATCCTAAAACGTTAACATTTCATTAATGACGTCGTTGCGAGTTTAGTCACAATCATATGCCCCGTCATATACGACCTTCACCTTAAGCTTGGTGTGCCGCTAAGTATTCTTACGCGAATGCTCGATTCTCTTCATATAAATTCACGTACGATTTGCTTCAGAATCTTTTATTTGAGTAAGTTTAAGATTGACATTACACGATAAAGAGATTATTAACCTCGTGTGTGTCCGTGTCATTGATATCATATATTAGGCATAAAAAATATGTATTCGCCAAAAGCTCGCATAATACATTTTGTTATTCCTAATATAAAATTTAAGATATTAATGATACGGAAAACAGGAGGTTATTACCCTCTATGTATGGTATTATGTAATAATGGTAAGTACAAATCATCCCAAACGAATTAGAGAACGTCAAACATTGGAATTGATGTGTGCCCGAAAAGATAAGATACAGTCGTCTGAAAAAATCGACTTCCTTTGAATATAGATAATATTAAAATTACATCAGTAATTCCTGTTATAATTTTGACAATGTCTGTTTCCGACATATGTGCAATGTAGAAATATGTTATTCAGCATGACGGAAGGCGCAGCACTCACTCACACACGCAGCCACTCGCTCACTCACGCAAACACTCATTCACACTCACATAAACACGCATGCAACCACTCACTCACACACGCAAACACTCATTCACACTCACATAAACACGCATGCAACCACTCACTCACTCACGCAAACACGCATTCACACTCACATAAACACGCATGCAACCACTCACTCACTCACGCAAACACGCATTCACACTCACATAAACACTCAATCACACAACCACTCACTCACGCAAACACTCATTCACACTCACATAAACACGCATGCAACCATTTACTCTCGCAAACACTCACTCACACTACTCACGTACACAACCACTCTCTCAAGCAATCACGCAACCACTCACACACTCACGTAGGCAACCAAAGCCACTCACACAATCAATCACGTAGGCACACACCACTCTCTCAAGCAATCACACACATCTCACGTAGGCAACCACTCTACGCAACCACTCACACACTCACGTAGGCAACCACTCTCTCACGCAACCACTCACACACAATCACGTAGGCAACCACTCTCTCACGCAATCACTCACACACTCACGTAGGCAACCACTCTCTCACGCAACTCACTCACACAATCACGTAGGCAACCACTCTCTCACGCAATCACTCACACACTCACGTAGGCAACCACTCACACTCACACATCACGTAGGCAAACCACTCTCAAGCAACCACTCACAGGCAACCACTCACGTCACGTAGGCAACCACTCTCTCACGCAACCACTCTCACGTAGGCAACCACTCTCTCAAGCAACCACACACAATCACGTAGGCAACCACTCTCTCACGCAACCACTCACACAATCACGTAGGCAACCACTCTCTCACGCAACCACTCACACACTCACGTAGGCAACCACTCTCTCACGCAACCACTCACACAATCACGTAGGCAACCACTCTCTTTCAAGCAACCACTCGCACACACTCACGTAGGCAAACCACTCTCTCAAGCAAACACTCACTCACACACTCACTCACCTACTCATTCCATTATCACCAGTCATACATCAGTATATACTACCCATCAAAAGTTTAGACTCACTAGTGTAACTGTAGCCACTTACTTCAGTCAATGTTCTAAACTTGATTTTGCAAAATATTCCATACTGTTTATGGGTACTGTTCACACATGAACTGACGGATTGTAAAACAAATTCGTAACGTTGAAAAGTTTATTGTTATGGATTCAATAAATGATGAAACTCAGTGAAAATTGGCGCATTCTTAACAAACCTTTACACCAAAACGCAGCTGTTCACATGCACGATACTTGCACATGCTTTACAGCAATTTGATGCATGATTCTCGTGCGATTTATCTGCATAAGGTTTGCAGTTGTTCCCCAAGTTAGTGGAGAAATTCATCTTCGATGTTACCATATATATATACATAACATATAGTGAGTGTTTTAAGTGAGTGTAAACTTTTGATGGGTAGTATATAATCGACCTCTCTATTCTACGTGTACTTCTATGGATGTCAAAATAGTGTCACAGGCAAAATAAAAATTCAAAACTCATATGTTTACCTTTAGTTCACCGCCTTACCCGTTCCGTGACGATCAAAGTGATAATATTCCTGTGGCTGTACTCCCTGTTATGGACCGTTCCGCCGCTTCTGGGGTGGAGCGCCTACACTTACGAACCCTTCGGTACCTCCTGCAGCATCGACTGGGATGACAAGGAATCCGGAGCCGTCGCCTACACGTGGTGCCTTATAATTTACTGCTACATCGTCCACATCCTCATCATCGCTTACTGCTACTACAAGATCGCAATGAAGGCCAGGGATGTCCACTCCAGGCTCAAACATTTTACCATTGGGGGAATATGCAACTCCGATTCCATGTGCCTGCGACGTGTTCACATGGAGAGGAAATCAAGCCTTGTAAGTTCCAATTTCAAATGTCCCGTTCCATTTTGTCAAAATAGCTCTTATAATACTATCTGCTACTTGTGTACGTAGGGTGGTGGGGGTAGCCTAGTGGTTAATGCGTTCGCTCGTCATGCCGAAGACACGATTTCGATTCCCAACCTGGGTACAATGTGTGAAGCCCATTTCTGGTGTCCCCCATCCTGATGTTGCTGGAAAAAGCGGCGTAAAACTAAACTCACTCTCTCATTGCTGAGGGAAAAATGGCTTTGTCGTCTAAAGAGCAGCCATTGGTTGCGCAGAGTTGCTTCCCTTTGTCACGCCAGGAACCTATGATCGATGGTTCTAATCCAGGTTGTCTAAGGGGTAGCGTTGTGATTAAAGCGTTCGCTTCTCAAGCCAAAGAACCTGGGCCCTTATTCTCGAAATGTTCGTAGCCCTAAGAATTCTTAACTTTGATCGTAGCCAATGTGTTAAGAATGGGCTTAAGAAGTTCATAGGGCTACGAAGGTTTCGAGAATAGCTTGCCTGATTCGTATCCCCAGATGGGTACAATGTGTGATTTCCATTTCCCAACGTCCTTGAATATTGCTAAAAGCGGCGTAAAACCTAACTCATTTACTCTCTTTCCAACAGGGGACACGCAAATTGAAATATATATTTCAAAAGTTCAATAAAAGGCCTGGTTTTGTTAAATGTGTGTATAAACAGGATACGTTAAAGTGGAACTTTTAGTTTCATTGTGCATGCTTACGATCGCCGTTAGTGTGATCAGTTTGTTTTAGTCGTTTGTTGTTTAACGTCGCCCCCCGCAGTGTTTACGTAGAGCCGTAGATATTTTTCTTGGTACGTTGATCATTAAGTTAGCCTGACCAACTGATTAATTCAGTCACCTCTTCCAACCAGTACAGGATGCTGGAGGCAAATCCCTGCCCTTAATCACCACGGGTAGGGCAGACCAGCAACACATGACATGTAGGTCATCACATAACCATAGGTTTCTCCATCGTTCTTTCCCAGCTACCAATTTCACGTTGTCACAACTTTGTGGACGTTTGACGCTAACGTATGTTACATTGTCATAACGTTCTATTTAACATTAATAGTTGAATAGTTTTCCCAGTAGTGAACTTTACATAGGAAACAAAGCAGAAATTCACATCAATGTTTATTCGTCAATCTGCATGCTGTTTTGGTCGTGTGATTTCTGAAGCTGTAGCTGAATAGTGAAGAAAGAATCTCAAAGTGAAACGTTTTACAGAAAAGTCACAGCAAGTTATAAGAAACGTTAACATTGTAAGGAGCCAAAAGCATACGTTTCTTCAACGTAAATTTGCAACGTTGTTATTACGTTGTGACGTAACGTTATAAAATGACGTAATACTAACGTTGTGACAACGTTGTGTCATGACGTTACCAATCTACAACCTTCCCAACAACGTTGCGAAAAGGTTGTGTGTTAGCTGGGTATTGAATTAACAAGAGAGATATGTCTCCGCTTCAAAGTTGTCACTCGATTGGAAGTGAATCGAAAGAAAACGCCATCGGCTTCTATATTAAGTTAACGCTTGACGACGTACATCAATCACGAACTAGATACTACTAGGCATGAAATACACCAAATCGAAGATAATGACGCTACACTTGAAACAAGTGACAACAGAACGTAGGTTTTCTTGTAGCCTCTTCAAATTTCAAAATGTTTTAAACCAGTCATTTCATGTGGTGAAGATACAAAGCATAACCCTTTCATGATGTTTGGTGAAATGAAACCTCAGTATCAAAGAAACATCGTGATGTCATTAATCCATTTCAACATGTTCATTTGATAATAGCATGCTTGCAATGAGCTGTTTTCCATGTACAGCATGCTCAAAACGCAAGGCATAGAATTATATACTCAGCAGCAAAAAACAACAACACGTCAATACAAAATGAGATAGGCACTGTCAAATCATTACAGAAATTGACATTATAAGCGGATCAAAAACATTTTTTGTGTACAATATCTTGACACATCAATGAATAACACAATTTCAAGACATTACTTGAACGTTTGCAGTCCATTCAGACCCTTGACTTCAGTATCTAGTGTGACCACCACGAGCGGCAATAACTGCAGCACAGCGTTTATGCATGAAGTGCACAAATCGATTGATGAAGGCCATTGGCACCTGGAACCACACTCTGAGAAAGGGCTGGCGCAGTAAATCGGCTGTGTTCGGCCTTGGTATTATATTATTCAGTTTCCTCTGAATTCATCCCAAAGATATTCCATTGGGTTTAAATCAGGAGTAAGGGATGGCCACTGCATAATGTTGACACCGTTCTGCTGTAGGAAGTCCCGCGTAGCTCTGGCAGTATGGGCCCGGGCGTTATCATACTGGAAAATGTTGTTCCGGTGACGTGCGAAATGTGGTATGACGTGTGGTCTGAGAGCTTGGTCTATGTAGCGCACCGCTGTGATGCCGCCTCCTCTCCCTGGACCAAGATTCTGGAACACCACCGGACCCACTCTCTGGTTCAGGCCTATTCCACCCTATACCACGATGCTTGCACCTCCCCATGAGTCTCTTTCCATAACACATTGGTCTGAGTAACGCTGGCCACGTTGTCGCCATATTCCTGTTCTGCCATTTGCAGTTGATACGCAGTACCGACTCTCATCTGTGAACAGAACAGTTCTCCATTGCCTGTATCGCCAGTTTTGTTGTAGACGTTCACGCCGATGACGAGGGGTGAGGATAGGTCCACGGTAAGGTCTACGGCAATGGAGGTTTTCGCTGTTAAGACGTCGGCGTACTGTATCAGTACTGATTGGTCTTCCGTGTGTTCCCACTGTCTGGCGTGCTGTTTCGGATGCCTGCATGAAGGGATTCTAAACATGCTGTCGCACAACCTGGCGGTCTTGTCGTCTTGTGGTCACCCTTGGTCTGCCAGTACGGAGGCGATCATTTGTGGTGTTGGTGGCCCGGAAACGATGCTGCAGCCTATAGATGGTCCGAACGTTGACCTGGAAGTGATTGGCAACGGCTTGTGCAGTGTGGCCAGCTTCAAGTCTTCCTAGCGCCTGGTTCCTCTGAGCTGTCGTGAGTCGCGACATCCTGCTAATACCCCCTTCACACTTGAGGCGGAATGAGCCAGAATGCCGTCGGAATGAAAATTCCTGGAGATTCCTGGAAATTCGAACTGCATTTTAAAACTTCTTACTCCATTCCCAATGCACTCCAACTATTCGTGTCAATTCTTGTAACATGCCCGAATGTTTTGAACATGTTCAAAACTTTCGAGGTACATTCGAAGTGGAAAAATATCGAACAACATTTGAAGTGCGTTCTAACTGCATTCTAAGTATTCTTACTGCATTCTAACTGCATTCTAAGTATTCTGAACGTATTCGAGGGAGAATCTAAAAAGCAAGCCACTTCAAATCCTGCAAGAATGTCCCGAATGCGCCTCGAATGTAATTTAGGTGGAATACTCCTCAAACGTATCGGAATATTTCGGTTGCACTTGGAATACAGCTCGAATATACATCGAATGAACATCGAATACAGTCAGAACGTCTCGAATGCTCTTCAAATGAGCCCTGGAGTCATAAGAACACCGCCGAATCCCTTAAAAACGTCACTTAAACTTCAGACATCATTCACATCTTCAAGCTGCGCAAGTTGTCTCCAGCCTCCTGGCACCACGTTGTGCTGCTCATCTTCCTCATCCACCATACCATTGTGGAGATTAGGATAACGAGTCCACATCAAGTTGTGCAGGCAGACACAGCATGCAATGATGTCCTTCACAACGGAAGACATTGGCAGCATGGTGGTGAGGAGGATTTGCCAACTGTGGGCCATGATTCCAAATGCATTTTCCACTACCCTTCGGCCCCTACTGATCCTGTAGTTGTTGATTCTCTCGTCTCTCTAGAGAGTCCTATGACCATACGGTTTCATCAAGAAGGCTCTTAATCCAAAGGCATCATCTCCCAGAATAAAGCATGGCATACGCTAGTCATCTTGTGGTAAGGAGAACGGGTCAGGAAATCCTATGCTCCCGTCTTCAAGACAATCCTTGAGCTCGCACTTGTTGGAGATCTGAGCATCAGACATACTTCCGTAAGCACCAACGTCCGCCTACAAGGGCCATTTGGACCACAGAAAAGATGCCCTGTAGTTGTGGTACAATGAGCTGCCCTTGGCAGGTTTCCTAATGGCCACATGTTTGTCATCTAAAGCTCCTACGGCATGAGGTATATTCCACCTGTTTCTCAATACCTCTTCAATGGGTGTCCATTCTTCTGGAGTGGTTGGGCAGATGATAACCTCATCCTTGTATTCCCCCAAATGCCCTTTTGATTGTGTCCCTTGCCACGCGGAAGCTGTACATGGTGCTGGGGCATCACCTGAAGCCAGCAACCTCAACGTGATGGCTAGCTTCAAGCCTGGAGGTAGCACCTTTCTCATATATGTATCCTGCTTCTGTATTCTTGGTCCCACTTTCTTCACCAACTCATCAAACATGGCAGGCTTCATCCTAAGGTAGTTGAAGAATGACTGCTTGTCCCCAACTCTGAGCTCTTCCATCAGTCTTGTGTAATGTCAAACAACCTCCTCCTTTCTTCTGTCAGCCATGGTCTGGTCTGGAATCTCCTGGGTCTTTTCCTGTTTCTTTTCCACATCTCTTTCAATCTGGGCTTGCTGGAGGACAGCAATCGGGAGCACCGCAACATGGTCCAGGTGGTCCATACTCTATGGGAGTTGGGCAGTGACTGATGAATAGTCCAGATTCAACCGGTTTTTATACCACATCGTGGAAAATTCCGGCAGCATTCTTGATGCATACCGGACATTCGTGATACATTCTAAGTGCATTTGAAGGACATTTGAAATATTCAAGCTGCATTCTGTTTTAATTCTTTAACACTCGACCCATATTCGGGGGCCATTCCAAGAAGGTTCTGAGTGCATTCTATGTAAATTCGTGCAGCATTCGAGGAACTTTCCAACTGAAATTCG